CTGAGGGGGAGGCGGCCGTACCCCGTCACCCACCGGGTCCCTTCTGAGCGCTCCCCCTCGCACCGCGGGTCCGCCGCTCCCGCCTTCCACCTCACGGAACGCGGCCCCTCCGCTCCCGCCTTCCCCCTCAGGGAACACGGCGCCGGCGGCTCCGAGCCGTGAAGGGGGGAGCGGGGCGCCCTAAGTGAAAGCGCCTGAAACAGCGCGCAGACCATGGACTCGACTCTGCCTCCCCCCACATCAGCCTTTTAACCCGCACAGCATCTTTAATTTAAACGGAAATTAATCTCCGGCCCAAATAGGCCGGGATTTGGCTCACCTGCGGCTCCCGTCGCCTGGACCCGGAGGAGGTGCCGGCTGTCTGGAAAACAAGGGATGAGAAAACCGAGGGATTTTCTGCAGGCTTGATGTAACCCGCAGCAGGCTGTTGCATCAAAGACTAGAAAAGGAACCCGAGACAAAAATAATCTTTTAAGAGCGTGCAGCTAAGATTAGTGCAGCGTGTCAAGATGTTGCTGAGCGCCACAGAACGAGTCCTGCCTGTACCCACACAGAAACAAATACTACTTTTCTGGCACCTTGTCCACTGCAACCCTGAGTTTCCAAATTTTATACCAAAGTGCTGTTTAGAGATAGGTTACAACCATACAATTTTGAGTTTGAAATCAGGCTTACCTCGGTTGTGGATATTTGGCTTGAGGGTTTAGATGTGGCTTGTTATAAAAGACATAGAATTCATATGAAGTTCTGAATTTGTAAATACTGTGGATTGATCAAAACTGATCTGTAAATACTCCAATTTGTTCAGACCTACTGTCTTGGTTTACCTCATCCCTCTGAAAATCTGACCAAATTGGAGAATATAAAAGCAAAAAAAGTACAAAATAACACTATTTTTCCCACATGCTTTTATTACTTATATTGTTTATAGCAGAAATGCTGCTCCTCATACACCCCCATGTAGGAAATGTGGTGGCTGACAAAAGTCAGTGTCTACCTGGGCAGGAGCACCCGTGTGCAAGCCTGCACATGCAGGCACAGCTCTGCGCTGCTAGGGTTGATATTTGGGAGCTGAGTCTGTCTTGTTTATTTTCTCAACAGGCAGCAAACTGTAAGGAATGTGTCAGGGACTCCGAGAGCGTTGCCCATTCCTTGTGTTTCTACGTGAAATGCATTTCTAGCCACACCCATAAAGAACTTGTCTCTCCTGACAGTACACAGTGGGGTAAGTGAGAGAACAAGAACCTTGAATGTCACTATTCACTACAGCAAGATGCTCTGCGTTCTGTGTAGTGTGTCCTTAAATTATTTGGTGTGCTGGTAGAGACTTTTCTAAATCAATTTCCTATATATTTTAATCCTGGAAGTGCTTTTCAAATAAATAGCAATACTGAAGTCCATCTTCTGGCTAGTGTTAGTAATTTTTGATATGCAAACTGTTCTGTGCTCTCTGCCCTTGCTCATTTTTCAGGTAGGCATAAATTTTAGGCTTCAGCATTAACATCCAAGATTAATGGGTCTGTTCCTACTTCTAAGAGTATTGTTACAGCTACCTGTATACTGAGCAAAATCCCTGCACTGATTAATGAATAGCTCACTTTGCAGTGTTTAAGTTCATAACCATTAAAATATTCTGGACTATTTCTAATGGAAACTCCTTTTAGAGAAACAGAATTCTTAAATACTCCCTGGCAGTTTTCATACTTTTCAGCTCTTTTATAAGTAAAATGTTGCATAGATGTCTTTGTTTTGCTGTTAATTCGTTTCCCTCCCCCATTTTTGTCCTTCTAGGACTATCTGCATTTAATTACACATTGTGTCAATGTCAACAAATTGCGGTCAGGGACGGGGTTCTCTCTGCAAGAGATACAAACACCAAAGTAGTTTCTGCCCCATACTGCTATCACAGCTAACAGTGCTTATCTCTGTCCTGTCTTTCTTGTTCTTACATCTCCCCCTCTTTCCCACCCTGTTCCATCAAGCCTGTGCTGCATTCTCTCTCTGACCTACCTGCTGCTCAGGCTCTTGGCTGTGGCACACTTTCTTCCCCACCAGCACATTTAATTGCAATGTTCCATTTCATTATTAGCTTGTCACCACCTTTATCAAGTCACCTTTCCTAACAAATCTCACTGCAAAGCTTTCCTGCGTAGCTCGTCATCAATTTTCCACTTTAAGGCTCTTCTAAAGCCACGTGCAAAAGGGCCTATGAAAAATCGTGTCTGTAGTTCTGTATTTATTTGTGAATAAAGAGTAGCATCAGTGAATAGTGCTACTGTACAGGCAGAGACAGATTTACTGTGTGCCCAGCTCCTGCCAGGCTCATTGCACAGAGATGTGTCTATGTGTCAGTCAGACAAAGCTTTTCCCTTCCCAGGCATTTTCAGGATCTCTGAGCAAGGATCTCTACTCGCACATGAAGACCCTCAAGTCTTGCTTGCACATGAAGGTCACTCAAGTCTACTTATTAATTCCAGTCAGTGTTGGATCAGATTCTTGTTGTACATAGTAAGCTAATTACCCAAGTTATCAACTGCATTTAGTGCAGGTGGGCAGACACCAAGCACTCTTAATGTGGGATTCTGCTGCCTCTCAAGTGCAGGGTGGAGCCCTGGCAGCCAGATTTAGCCTCCCCCTTAGTGCAGCCAGAGAGACACGCAGGCTTTCTACGGAGCAGCAACCACAGAACGACTTTTTTCCATGTTACAACCCCAAATTTCTAGCTTGTGGCACTGAAGTAATTTTCAAAGTCTGGTTTAGCTTATTTTAAGTGCATTTTACACATGGGTAAACTCAAGCAAGGCAGAAGACAAGTGGCAGATGGTTAGCGACAGAGCCAGGAATAGAATGGAGAGCTCTGCTGTCCCAGGACATGATTTTAAGAGACTTTGTCCCAGGATTGTGAGCTTGATGATTTATAATTCATGGGGCTTCAGAAGTGCTTTTAAAAAAAAAAACAAACTAGCTATCACTATTCCCAGTTTTTCCTGGCAGAGACTGGCTTCCATAAGCAAAACAATTTTAGTTGTTCCTTAAGTGTGCAATTTGGGACTTAAACCTGTTCCCTTTCTCACCAGTTTTATGCCTTTTGAACTGGCTTGGCTGTGTTGTGTGGACTGCTCGTTTACCTCTACAGGGGAAGGATGAACCTCCAAGAGAACCCAACAGAATACCTTTCAAATAGACCTATCTGTAACCTTGGTAAAAATAACTAGATAATGATAATGGATAATTATAAACTCCATAACTGGCAAAACAAGACTCTGCATTTCAGAAGATGAATTGCCTTACCCTGTCCAGTAACCCACTTTATGGTGCAGTAATGGATCTGCATCCAGAGGGTTATGCAATGAAATGGAGCCTTTGGCAAGCTGGAATCACACTGGAAATGAAGCAACATCTTCATGGGGTTTTTCACACATGCATATTTGTAAATCTGGAACTTATCCCTTTTGACATAAAGACGGTCCCTGCTTGGAATGATAAAATTCTAGGACAGATTATGAAACAATAAAGAATTTAAATATTATGGTGCAGCAGTACAACAATATAATTACCCTTCCTTTTACTGATTCAAGTGTAGTATCTCTGAAAAGCTTTTTGCACTCCAGATAAACTACTGACACAGTAAATACAATATCATATATATTTAAAAAAAAAAAAAAAATATTTTTCAGACCTTTCTCTAGGTAATTACTGAAACAGATAAAAATATGGGGAAATTAAACAAATACAGGCCCTGATCCAAAGGCCAATGAACTCAGCAGAAGCACTAGAGTCATATGTATTTTGAATTACAATTCACAAATGCAAATAAAGAATATTATTATATATGTGTAAGGATAAGGACTAGTTGTGTAGTTGCAGTATCTAGGCATTCCACTTGGATAAAATGAGATTTTTTTCTCCAGCAGGTAGAGAGAGTTTCTCAGCAAGCATGTATTGCCAATATTTATGGGAGAGTTTGTGGTCCCAAAAGCACAGAAATGCTGGGAAACAAAAAGGAAAGAAAATGTACCCAAGGAGGAGATCCAGCTGCTTCCAAGTCATTTCTATAAATAAAAATCTGATGCGAACTCATTATCGTTTCCCTTTCCAGCACCAATTTGCTTCCTCAAGATTTCAGAATGTGCATCTGAGGACTTAGGCTGCGCGTCGTAAAGTTTCCCTCGGCAACTGCTAAAATTATTCACAAGGCACTGCAGCATGGCAGCAGCTATCAGCTCTGGAATGGTAAGGGAGGCAGGGGATGGCTTTTGGTGTCAGTCGGGGAGAAAACAGTGAAGTTGTGCTTGGCTGTGTTGCTGTGGGTTGGGGTGTCAAGCAGGTGATGCCATCCATACCTCTTGTCCTGTCGTTAGCGGGCAATCACCATCTACAGCTGGAGCACATTTCTGGAATGGCTTTTCCCCTAGACACTGGAACCTCCTAGACAAATATTTGCAGCCCACTTTGTGAGCACGGGACAGCAGAAGGGTTGCTTAAGGATGGCCCAAATCCTAATGCATCTACCAAAGCCAGCTTGCTGTCTGTGCCAGCACTAACCTGGTTTAAGTATTGCTGTCATCAGTAATGCCAGATAACAAAAGCTGCTCTTTGTGGAGTAATATCAGGAAGGAAATTGTGCATGCAGATTCGCCAGCAAAAATAACAGTCTGGGGCTGTAAATGTACACATTGATACTGCTGGTTTGTTGCTATTTTCAGCAGCTCCTGTTCCCTCAGGGGTGAGAGGACTTAACTGCTATCCCTGCTGTTCATGTATCAGCCTTAAAGGTTCCATGTGGATGCCTGCTCTTTGGCCCATCTGGGGGTGATTTCTGCAAATAGCGGTTTTCCTCTGAGTCAGTATTCAATTCATCACCAGAGCCTTGCCACATGATACTGTGGGGCTGTAGAAAACTACTTTCCTTCACTAGAGATCTCTAGTGAAGAGATCTCTTGTTTTATTCACCTTTGAATCGTGCCCAGGCCAAGCAATTGTATTCCATGTAGCTAAACCTTCCCCACAGTTTTGTCTGATGGGGATACTTCAGGCTCCAAACTCCTGTGTAGTCTTGCTGTTTAAAGTTTTTCTATTTAGTTCTAGAGATTGCTTATATCGTGGTGGGTGAAGTATATCTATCACTTAACCACTTCTCAGGAGTACTATTAGGCATAATTAATGTTTGTAGAACACTACTGAGATTCTCAAGAGAAGCATAGATAGAAGTGCAAAGGATTATAATTAATTTAAAACTAATTTTTGAGTAAACGGCTAACAACACTTATGCTGAGATTCTCCAAATAAAACTAATTTCTTTGATTTTTAGACAAAAAACATTCTGAAGTCTGAGTTCCATTAACTACCACCACTGTATGATGAATTTTGATTTTTATTATCCTTCAATATCCTTTGATATATCCAGGCACACAGTACACCTTGTTTTAGTTCAGGAAATACTGCCCAACATACGTAAGTCAAAATAAAACTAACAAAGTAACTAAATTCATAAACTCAAAGACAATCCCCAGCACCATTTGCCTTTAGTATAAATGTTTGAACCATAAAGCCTGTAATTAATGTTATGGAATAATTTCCATATTTATTTATAAGGCATCTCATTTACATAAATAGTCATTATCTGGAAATAAAATCAGATCATTAAAATTCTGAAAACTGATTGAGATCAGTAAAGATGTACCAAAGAGATTTGCTAAACTTGCTGTTTCAGACTGTTCAGAGACGAAATCTCTTCTCCCAAACAAGCTTAAACAGGACTCTGCTGTGGAAATCCAAGCAGTGCTTCAAGCACATGACATCATCAAACAGAACGGTTATTTTGTATGGTGAGAAAACATTGGGTCACTCTTCTCACAAACTGTCATGGAGAGTTTCCAAGGAACTGCATCTGACACATCTGCACTGAAAATCTGACCCAGATTGTAGCTGAAGTTCTCCTAACACAGATTTCTGCTTTTCTGAGATTCTGTAGTATTAGAAAATACTAATTTCTTTCAAAATACTTTTAATGCTTACAGTATCTCCAGTATTTTCAAAGTTTTGCATCTAGTTAAGAACACTTCATGCAGGAAATGAAGAAGAAATGGCACTCTAATATTTCTGTTTGGGAAGCTGGATTGACCACTCAGCTATTAGCTAGAGTCACAGGTATTAAAAATGATGTCCTGCTTGTCACAAAGAATGCATCTCTTGCCCTGCTGTCAGTGCTTTTACCTTTCAAGGTCCAGAGTGCTCTCTATTCAATTTTTTCTGGATAGAAATAAACTTACCATTTTTTTAAAAAGCTACAGCTGTGAAATGTATTTTTAAAAATTTGAATTGCTCTGAAAAGTCAGACCTGAGTCTGATGTTCTTCAGTGTGAGATACATTTTTGAAGTGTAAGTGTAAGCCCAGAGTAAGGCAATACACCACGACCTACCCTGTTTGGATGATTTCCTTACTAATTCCTAGAGAATGGAAGTTGGCTCGAGTACTGAGTCATGAGGATTTCATCTCAATACAGATATTTTTAGTATCTGTTATTTTATCTTGGGTACTTTTAAAATCTGTATCACTGCCCAACTCCTCTCCTAATTATCTGAAATTCTTTTCTTCTGTAACAGCTTTGGAATGTGCCCTTCTATTATTACAAATACTGGCTGCATTAGATTGGGTCCAAACTGCTCATCCATCGATTGATTTAGGTAAGAGTGCCCTTGTTTAAAGCCTCAGCAACTGCTGAGAAACCAGCAAAACAGAGGAACAACATTAAATCTCATGGTGAGTCACTGTGAATATAGGTCAGCCCAGGCTCTGCCCTTTGCTGAGCTCACAGAGGTTTGGCTCCAGGTTACCTGAAGGAGCCCCAGCCTCAACAGAACCCCCAAAAATTATGTTTGTGTTCCTTTGCCATACAGCACTGCCACTTCCAGTGGGGAGTTTAGAGCAGATGAACACTTTCTTAGCAACTGAGCCACAACCTAGAGCTGAGAAAGGATAGAAAACACAAACCAAATCACCTTGAGAGTAAAATACACAACCTGTTTGTTTAACCCAATTTGCGCCAAATAACATTATAGATCCACTCAATCTCAGCCACTTGAGGCTCAGAATCAATGTGCTAAGAGAAGAGGGAGAGTGATGTATCTGCTCTGATTTGTACCTAGGGGAGACCCTCTCCTGCAACAGTCAGGGGTTCTACATAATGAGGTAGGCAGAGAGAACAGTGAATTGATTATTAATTACACTGCTTGATCACCTCCTTGGAAAATGTATGACCAAATGTTGATGCACAGAAAGTAGTTTATATAACCAAGTTTGAACTTAACTCATAGTACAGTACAAAGTTACCTTAATAAATGGCAATTTTTAAAAATCGCACTGTGACTCTCGATACAAATAAAAAAATACTTCCAGTATAAATAATGAGATGGGAGGAAATGTCCTTGGCAAGTCAATTTGTTCCATGCTGCTGATGGTTCCTGTTAGTGACAAGGATTTTTTTTCAAGAAGGAAGCAATGGAAAACAAATGCAAAAGCGTTTACCAGAAGGCCAGGCAATGACAGATTTTCCAAAATGTCAAGTGTGCAAAATAGAGTCAATTTAAAAGAGAATTAATTATTTAAACTGAATTAATGTGACTACAATGAAGCCCTGTTAAACCATCTCATCCATCCTGCTTCCAACTGTGTTACCCCTTACAGTCTAAGTCTAAATACTGTGACCTCAATTCTCAAACACTTCAAACAAAAACTCTGTTACTCAGTCAGAGTACCAACATGTTGCTTTTTAAATATATTTACTGCATCTTTTCCAGGAACTCACCCACAGAATTGTCCTCACCTTCTGCACATTCCCAGCTCATATGAATTTGACCTCTGGGTCACCTTTTTCCCTCTTTTCCTTTTTCATCTTCATACTTGTGTTTTCCCAGATGCTTCAAGCAGTTTTTATTGCTGCATTCTTCAGCTCATCCTTTGCCTGCAAGTTTTCCCTTTGCATAAAGTCCTGATATCTTAATTTCAACAACTTTTCTCTTCTGTATCATGCATTGCCTTATCCTTGTGTGCCTTTGGGGACAGGAAGGTGACTGAGTTTTAGGTCTCCAGCTTTCATATGGAAGCTCATTTTCTTAAAAGAGTGTCCACACCTACTTCCCCTGGAGCCAACTGTCCCAAAGGGCTTCAGTTCCTCCTGGACTATGGGCCATGGTGTTGCAATACACTGAATATCACCCCTAGAAGGAATATTCTGTGCCCACTGTTTGCATTTTCCAGATCAACACGAATTTGCAATGCTATCAACAATTTAGAAGTGCAATAATGATTACCTAGTGCTCTTTTTCCTGGGTAGTGTTACATTAAATGTGGCAACACCAACAGAGCCACTGTTCTTTTGTATCCCACAGGAATATTTATAACCATGTCTACCAATGATAAGTCAAAGCCGTCACTTTTGGTGTCCAGTTTCAACATGGGCAAAGGAACCACTCCAAATTCATCCTTTTCTGCTGCCCTTTAAAGCAAAACATCTGGGCTAGAATTTGCATAAAATAAATTCCTTTCTTCTATTTCACAGAGGAAAAGAACTCCCATCTAATAAGTAATGAACTTAATTGCCCTGGATCTTGACTGTGTTGGTAATGCATATTAATTTAAATGCATCAGTGTAAAAATCAGTCTCATTAAACTATCTCAAAGCCCTAGAATAGATGGAGCACTGCATTAACACTTGCATGTAGTCATTCATATTAAAGTTATAATTTACAGGAGCTCATAATGATTATAAACAGGAATTAAAACTGAGCTGAGGTGCAAGAAAAAGGATTAGTGGCAGTGATATTTAAATTGACAGTTAAAAACTCTTCTAGAGCATTTTCAATGCCTTGGAGAAATACAGTTGGTTGGATATACTATTCTTTATTTCATGATGTACCAGAAACAATGTAAAAAACATGAGCACACCAAGGTCAAATGAACATCTTCACTACAGAAATATATTTCTTAAGTTATTTTATACACTGACATTTTCATGTCATGCGAGGGGATTGACTGATGTACATATGGAAAATTTTGAGCGAGTTCTTAGAAACCATAATATTTTCTTGATCATTCATAACCAAATGCATAAAGAACTCTTCAGCGTATCACTACTGCACAGCTTGTACGAGATCTCCATAGCTACCCTTGGCACAACAAGCACAAAACCCAAGTGCCTTTGCAGGGCTGATAAGCAGACAGGAAGCAAGTGAACATCTGCTACAGCTTTAGATGGTTTTGCCTTCAGCAACCACTGAAAAACGTCAGGCTCTGCATTCCACGTCCGGCTCGCTTGGCCTTTGACACCGCCAGCTGTTGGACAGGAGATGTAAAATGTTATACCTACAGAAAGGGGTGCATTATTTTCTAAAGGACCATTGGGATATTTAATGGCATTTTTTTCCTTTCCATTCTCTGATGACTGGAAGGAAACACTGGATAGCAGAATCTGCACATGGAGTTACTTCCTGAAAGTGAACCACTTCCTATTTAACAATTATTTTTTTCTAATGTTCTGTTTTCCTTTCCAAACCTGCTTTGCTTTGTTTTGTTTTGTTTTGTTTTGTTTTGTTTTGTTCTGTTTTAAACACCAAAAACAATTGCCCCATATACTGAATAGTAATTATATTCATCATAATCATTGTAAGGAAGCCATGTGCTTCCCTGGATCAGGGCTGGGGCTTCCAGCCCAGGCAATCTGTCTTCTTGGAGCATAACAGGATTTCTATAGCATGGACAGCCAAGGAACAGAGCTACACAAAATAAATATCAAACAATTTAGTGCAAACCCTTTTTTTGTTTTAAGAAAGAGCTGTTGAACATGATGCTTTATAAAGGAGCTCAGCCAAATAATGCAGATTCTCTGCTTGTGTGTGCGTGTGGAAAATCTCTGCTCCAGATAGTTCTGCAATTCTCCACCACCACGGTATTTTCATTTGCATGGAAAACTACTAACAGAGAACAACTGACAGCAGCATATTTTTAGGATATTGAGGCCCATGCATCTTTATGTACTTCCTCTGAGATTGTAATTTTGTCTAGGAGATTGCAACAGTTGTGACGAATTCGGATTTAGCCATGTATGGTAGATCCTGTGGCTCTGACATGAGATGAGAAGGGGGTTCAGAGTAACAACAAGAAAGAGGAAGATGTTACTCCAGAGTTATATAAGTGTAACTGAGAAGGGAACTTTTCCCAGAAATTCTATGTTCCATGCTTTGGAGTTCTATACATTTTTTAATATGTTCTATTCTTAAACTGCAGATGGATGCTGTTTTGCCAGAAAATAATTGAAACACAAAGATGACTTCAAATATTTGTAAGAGTCATGTTGCCACTCAAAATACAGAAGCATCAAGTAACTGTCTTAGTGAGATCATAAAAGCAGAGACAGAGAGATCAAAGAAGAAAATACAGGACTCTTACTCCATTCCTAATACAAGCTATTTCTCTTTTTAGGACCAGGAGCCTACCTGGCACAGAGATGTTCCCATAGTCTACAAATACAGTAGCTGAGTACCTGAGGTGACTACTTCATCAGTATTTATTTAGTTACATATAGGAATAGTCATAAAGCCAGTGAATTTAACCTTTGAAGCTGACAAATGACTGACTCGGTTTATTATTGTACAATGGAATCACAGAACTCCAGAATGGTTTGGGTTGGAAGGGACCTTAAAGATCATCCAGATCCAGCTCCCTGCCATGGCAGGGACACTGTCCCCTGTCCCAGGGTGCTCCAAGCCCCAGTGTCCAACCCAGCCTTGGACACTTCCAGGGATCCAGGTGCAGCCACAGCTTCTCTGGGCACCCTGTGCCAGGGCCTCCTCACCCTCCCAGGGAACAATTCCTTCCCACTATCCTATCTATCCCTGCCCTCTGTCAGTGGGAAGACATTCCCCCTTGTCCTTTCCCTGCAGGCTCTTGTACAAAGAGCCTCTCCAGCTCTCTTGGAGCCCCTTTAGACACTGGAAGGAGCTCTAACGTCTCCCCAGAGCCTTCTCTTCTCCAAACTCAACATTCCCATCTCTCCCAGCCTGGCTGCAGAGCTGAGGGGCTCCAGCCTTTGCAGCATCTCTGTGGCCTCCTCAGGACTTGCTCCAGCAGCTCCAAATCCTGCTGTTGTTCCCCTGGGCTGGAGGCAGCTCTGCAGGTGGGGTCTCACCTGAGTGGGGCAGAAGGGCAGAATCCCCCCCTCACCTGCAGCCCTCACTGTGGGATGACCCCAGGATATAGTACCTTTCTGGGCTGCTCTCCATGCTTTTTACCTTCTGCATTTCACAGGGAACTGAATTTTTTAAACTATATTAATATTAGTATAATTAAATAGCTGTCTTGAACTGTGTGCACATTGCATTTAACCAGCTTGAAAGCAAGCCAAAACTTGAAGCAATTTTTATAAGAATTGTAGAATCAATACATCAATTCCCATTAATTTGATGTCAGAGGAAACAAATGTGTACCTGTCTGAAACGTGTGCATTCCCTGCAGAGAAGTACTAAAATAAGCATCTTCTGTCTCCCTGCCTTCCCTGTGCCCTCCAAACATCTGAAACCAGAATGAGGAAAACTCAGACTGGCTGCAAAATACAATGAAACCATGGGTCTTATTAAAATTATTTATTAAAGACCAATGAAACCTGGGTTTTATTAAACAAACAAGGACAAGTTATGCACAAACTCTGCCACATCGAAGCCATCCCAAGCTCTACACCATTCACTGCACTGAGTTCCTTGTTTCTCCCCTGATGCTCCAGTCCCTCCAAAATACATCTCCATTCCAGGGCTGAGAATATCTAGGCAAGCTGAGGTGAAAATCCATTCAGTCTGTCACAGCCATAAGCTGTAATTCTGCACAGCAGTGAGACAACATTTGTGACTATCCCAATCAAGATACAATTTTTTGATCTTAAACCAGCCAAAGTTCTGGATCAGTCCAAGCTCAGTAAAATGTGCTGTGCTGCAAGCATCTTGCACATCTTGCTCACTGCACAGCTGGCTGCTGAGCAAATTCTTGTCTCAGGAGGTTTGCTCAAGCACATGAAACATATTTTTAGCATCCCAAAGGTGTGAGTACTCCCAGAGCTGAGTGCAACCTGGCTGACAGCAGGTTTCTAGAGGAAGGAGCGGGGAAAGAGGCAATGGGTGATGAGATTACCTCCCACAGAAGGAGACTTCTGCTTGGAATATCAACACATCTTTTCAGTCTCTCATTGTGACTGTTTGTGCTTTCATCAGATTTTCCATTTGCTCCTTCAGCTACGGGACCAGATGGCTCCCACACATTATGCTCTGAATCATGGCAAGGCTCGAGGTGTTCGTTGTGTGTCACAGCAAACACAGGCGGTGGACCAGGTTAAACTCCCTCACAGCCAGCATGCGGTGCACCCTGCACAGGGGTGGCGCTGCAGGTACCTGCAGATACACACTGTGGAAGATCCGAGCAGCCTTTTCTTCTTGCAGGGAAATGACTGCCGTGCCTTGAGCACAGATAGCAGGGAAGAGAGGCAGTGCAGTGACACATGGCAGAGGACAGATGCTCAGCACTTCCCGTGATGCGCAGTGCCTGATGGCAAGGAGTCCTGGTGGGCCAAGGACAGGAGGCTCTTGTTCCCTCTCTGATTTCCCCTTCCAGTTTGTGATTAAACTGGTGCTGACACCTTGCCCAGTGCCTGTTTGCAGAGCCAATAGCCCTGGGCAGGACTTCTGGCCATGGAGCACCTACTGGAAAAAGAGACAATCTCATTGTTGGAGAGCATCTCTGCCTCTGGCATTTGTTAAATAGAAAACAAAACAGATTTTCTCCTCACTTACCTTGCATAGATCTGGGGTAGATTTAAGCTGTGGCAGCCCTGTGAAATGAGACTGAACAGGAGGGGTGTCTGCAAATGCAATGGCCCCTGTTTTGGGAGGGCAAGGCTGGGACGATTACACAGAACGTGATTTGTGTTTCAGTTAAAAGACCATAGAAATCACCCTGAAGTTCTCTCTCACTGAAATACTGCATTTCTGAGCACTGAAAACCACTGAACTAATGAAAGATGCTTTTTCAATACCTAGGACATATCTGGGGCTCAGTGCAAGTAACAAATCTGGAGGCAGAGGAGGGATGTCCTGGATAGCACAACTGATATGGTGCTTCTGTTCCAGGTCACACCATGGAGGAGCAGCCAAGCAGCTGGAGACTGTCCAATGGCCACACTCCACCCCAAGTATTTTCTGAGATGAGAAAATTACCCTTTGGCTGCTTCTCAACTTGCTTTTCTTGGTATGTATTTTCATGCCCGCCGCATTGGGAGTGACAAGGCACCTTGTGAGCGTGTGCTGTGCTGGCCTTTGCTGATAGGTGCTGGCAATTAGGGGACACCCATCAGGGATGGGGACAGTGACCAGGAATGTCACAACCACAGCCTGTGCAGAGCAGCTCCCATGAAGGTTAACGTGTGATGCCACCACCTTTGAGGTCAGCGTTGGCCTCGCTTTAGCAGTCCTATAAATAGATGCCCAAGGTTGACTGAAAAGAGGATTTGGCTCGGCTGGATCTTGTTTAGCATTCCCAGGAGAGGAAGGCAGATTCTTTTCCCTTTTTCTCTTTCAGCTTGTAACCTTGAGTTGGTCTCTTTCTGTGGGAAACATTAGTGGCATTTGCCAAAAGCGCTGCTGCTGTGAGCCAGATGTCCTGCTGTGTCACACAAACCACACGTACACGTCTCTTCAACCTGTAAACCCAGACCTAATTTCACTAGAGCCTCAAACGAATTCCTCACTGGCAAAACTAGGGAAAAACCCAAACAAACCTTGAGCCTAATTGCTTGAAAACAGTAGGACACCTAGTGGATTTATAGGGAATATATTTGGGATTATCAGCAACATTTTGTCATTTTCTTGGCAAAACCAGCTGTGAATATATTTATAGAGGAATCACTGAATTATCAGGGTTTCTATTTAATAAATTAATCTTGTTACAGCTGCTACAGCCTTCAGTTTGCCTAAAGAATTTATTGCAACCTATAGAAAACCCAAAGAGCATTGTTTGAATGACTTGGAAAAAAAAAAAAATTACAGAAAACTGGATGGTTCCCAAGGTCTGGGAACAGGAGAAAGGATATTCTGCCAGATCAAAGTCATCCCAGTTGTTCCATCTGACAGCTCTCTAATGATCTTAATGAGCAAAGTTTTACAGTCTCAGCCTGGCTCCCAGTACAGTCGTGCAGCTCCACAACAACATGGCCATGCTGAGCACAGCCAGCCGGCCCTGCTGCTTGTTTCAGCAGAGAATGACTTGGCCACAGAACCCAAAGTGCTTCTTCATTCCCCAGGGCTGATCTTTTGAATCCAAATTAGAAGATGATGGGCCAAGCGATAACGCCTGCGCTGCTGTCGCTGCATTTGCCTGCTACCAGCTCCAACATCAAGCAAATTTTGACCCTGGATAGGGAATAAACCCCTCTGGCAGGGTGTGTAAGAGAAGAAAATTTTGAGTGATGATTCTATGAAATTATGTCTTGGCCAGCAATTATCCTGGGGTCACCAGGGTTATCTTGCTAGTGTCTCTGGAGGTAGCAGACACAAAGAGATGAGTGTTGAGTCCAAAATGGTTCAGGAAACTGATGACTTCATTTTGACAGTCATCACAAGGAACACCAAGTCATTGAGTCTTGCACTCAACTCCTGTTCCCCAAACACACTGAAAACTTTCCTTTCTGCTTACCATAATATTGTCCTAGTGAAAAATGTCTCCAGAAGATGGTTAATTTTTCTGTTCTCTTCTCACTCTTTAAGCAGTGCTGCAGGGATTCCTGAAAAACAGCAAAACCAGAATGAGATTTGATTTTGGATAAAAAATCTGTTCAGATGCAGGTCTTCTTTTTTATTCCAAGTTCAAAGTTAGGAAAGGAAAGGCTAATTTAGAAATTAATTTTGATTTGGTCTACTTCTTCTTATACCTTTTCTTCCTAGAGCTGTAGAAATCAGAAAGGACATAGCAGGTGATGGAATGTAAATGAGTTATCAACAGAAAAATTCATATTAACTCCATGTATTCTAATTATTCCTACCTGTGGCATAGAATTACCTGAAAAATAGAATCCTTGTGTGTTGTAAACCCTTTAAATTGGTCTTGGGTTTAAAAAAAAAAAAAAAAAAAGTTGTTTATTTTAAAAATTCAGTGGATGGATTTTATATTTGAAGGTTTTTTTCCCTGACTGACATGTCAAACTGGGGCTAGTGCATGCTAAGAGTATGCTTTTCTCTAATTTAGCAGCTGGATTGAAAAGCTTGAATTATCTCTGCATAATTGCAATGATTCATGGATTGTTAGGAAATTGCAAAGTATTGATTGAATTTTCCCCTTAGGAAATATTTCTCCTCTGATAAAACACAGTTCTGGGTTTTGCTATTGTCCTTCCTGCTTTTTGCCCTGGGGAAGCCAGGGGCTGCTTTTGTCCCGGAAAATGGGAATTTGGGTCAACAACCCTTCAAGGACGATTTCGAATTATTGTGATTTCCAATTCCAAATCTTCTCTGAGCTTTGCAAAGAGATGGATTTGCAAAGTGTGAACAGGGAATTTCAGAGCCAGAAAAGCTCTGTTTATTTAATTTTATTTTTTTTCTGGGACCAGCAGCAAATACTCTCCATCCCTGTTTCACATTCTCCCATTTCCATGGCAAATACCACCAGAATGCTCTGCAAAGACACCTTGACCTTGTTGTGGGAATTCCACAACCACCAAAGATGGTGGTAAATTTTCCACTTTATTAGGCCAGGATTACTCTGGGGGATCTCAGGAGCTGGTGGGAAGAGGGAAGTGGAGAATGACGTGAGAATTGGGTGCAGGGAGAGCTTGATGCACAGTGCCTGGGGCTGGGCAGCTGGGAGCCCTGACATACATCTGCACATTAATGGTGCTGGGCCCTTTTTGGCAGCTGCTCTATGAATTTCCAGAACAGACCCATAAATTCGCAGTTATGAGTGTGACCTCTGCTTCTTTTCTTCGCTAAATTGAACATCCAAGGCCCAGCTGAGTATCATTCCTTGTATCTGCTCCAGTTGCTTGGGATGTGCTGCCTCTGCAAATGGTTCTGCCTAAATTAGGAATTACGGGAGAGCGCTAATTCAAGGTTTGCCGTGAATTTAGTGTTCCCACAAGGATGACACTAAAGGCAATTAATGCAGCAGAAATGCCAGTGCTGAGTGACTGTTCTCACATTAAAAGCTGTCAGCTGGAGAGCACACAGTCTCTGTTATTCCAGGCCTGACCTCTGCTTTCTGGCCGTGTTTCCTGCACACCCCAGGTGTCCCAGGCCATCCCATCACTGCAGCAATTCGCTCTGGAAGGGGACACAGAAAGAGCAGAACAGCCCAAACCAGCCTGTGCTGACAGTGACATTTCCTGAGGGTTTGGATATTCTCCTTTGGGGCCTGAACAGCAACAAAATTAACCCAGGACTTAACAGGATATAAGACTTCAATTTCTGGAGCTCCTTGCTAGTGCAATGCTCTCCTCATGTCCTGCTCTGTTGATTCCTATTTAGACACAGAGCTCTTTCTACTGTTTCCATTTTCACCATGAAGAATCTGAATTTAAGTGATTAATTGCATTTAAACAGGCTTAGCTAGAAGTAGTCCCTGCTGCTGCTGAACTCAATAGCAATCTGCACAACTTTTCATGTTTTAGTAAAAATCATTGGTAAAAAATGCCTTTGCTTTATAATGGCTGAAGTTGAACAAGTGTCAGTGGTGCAGCAATGTGGGGACTGTGACTTTTACCTCAGCCAGAAAAACCACTGTCCTCACCCTGTGCCCTAAAGTCTTGCATAGGGTAAGTCAGTTCCAGATGAGGAACATCTGCAATGTGGTGCAAGAGGAAGTCATGCTTGCAGACATGAAAAATGTAAATAAGGCGTGTTTCTAGGCTCACAAACACAATCCAAAGGGTGGAAAGGAGAACAGCTCTTACAGGAGGATAACTAAAAGTACTTCATCTGTGTTATTTTAAGGAGTTTTACCACTAACAGCAGTTCTGGAGGATGAAACCAGGTCTGAGAAACATCAAGTGAAAATTAATAGCTTTTTAACAACAAAGTTCAATGGACTAGTGCAAATAGGATATGAGATGGAAACCTGAGCTCCTGAATTATAAATATACCCAGCCTCTACACAGACAAGTATCTGTTATCCATTTGATGTACTACTCAGTGCCAGAGAAAAGTGTCAGGAGCAGGATGAGCATTTTCAGGCTCAAGATTCTGTGTGTTCTGGGTTTGGCTGGAGATAAAAAGGATGATCCCAAAGACAACACAGATTCCTATAGACCTCACCACTACACTACCCCTGTGAAGAACTGGAGGTGCAGGACTCATCAGAGGCTGGCAGCAGGATGTGGGTGAGCCCAGACCATGAGCTCTCGATGCTTCAATCTCATCCAATGCTCCTGGAGAGCCTCTGTACTCCTGTGGTGAGACACACTGCAGTCACACAGCAGGTGTCTGTGTTATTAATGTTTTGTTTTCCCCACTCAGAAGCTCTGAGGCAACATGAACTATTTCTCTTTGAATGCAGAGGATCATGTTCTGGCTCATTACAGCAATCGGTAACTGATGCACAGCACTGCTGCCGATGCCCGGGGGGTTCTTTCCACACACAGGAATGATGACACAGCCACTGACTGCAGTGATGGCAAACATGCTGCTGCTGAGGGCAGGCTGGTGGGAAAAGAACAGTTTTATGGGATTCAGTTTAATCATCTGGACACAAGAGCTATTTTTATCCTCTGTTGTTTAAATCTCAAGCCTGCACCAGGAGAAGCTGATGGCAAAGTTGGTGTCTCCCATGGCTCAGGGACAGACAAGGGGGACTGGATCATCTTTTGGGAAGGGAGAAGCAGGGTGGGCAGGGATGGCAGTGGGAAAGGGGCCTGTGCTCATGGCCTCTGTACCTCATGAGCTGAAAGGGCTCCTTGGTATCTGACTCCACAAGCCCACATCCCCCTCTCAGCTCAGTTCACAGGAGAGGTCTGTGAGACTTTGGGGGGCTTCCCACCAACCCACTCCAAGCTCCCCTGTGCTTGTGGGTGGCTCTGGGGTGAGGCCAGTGCCTGCCCATGGAGGCAGGAGAAGGGCACCCAGCCTGTGATGAGGTTTAAGGTTGGTGGGTGCCAGGCAAGGGGTGAGGTGAGATTATCGCAGTGTGTGAGGAGGCCCAGGGAGCTCAGAGCACGCTCATCCATCACCTGGGCACAGGACTCAGGGAGCTCGGTGTGCCCATGCGCGGTTTGGGCACAGGTACTCACTCGGGCAGTTCAGAGAACGCAAAGAAAAAAAACGAAACGAGGGAAGAAAACATTCAGGTTCCACCGAGATTTGAACTCGGATCGCTGGATTCAGAGTCCAGAGTGCTAACCATTACACCATGGAACCGCTCTGCCACCTCCCCCTCCC